ATATATAATTATATATATATATTATATATTGCACGCGTGTGTCCATGTGCCCGCGCGGCCCACTGACTGACTGACTCTGTTTGTCTGTCTGTCTGTCTGTCTGTCTGTCTGTCTGACTGGCTGACTGACTGACTGACTCTGGCTGTCTGTCTGTCGGTCGGTCTGTCTGTTTACCTACCTGTCTATTTATCTGACTGCACCGCCTATATGTGTACGCGTGCGTGCGTAAGTAAGCGTGTGTGTGCATGCGTGCGCGTGCGTGCGTGTGTGTGCGTGCGCGTGTGTGCGTGTGTGTCCTTTCTGAACGTGCCATCCGTACCTCTGTCCTGTGTGTGTGTGTGTGTGTGTGTGTGTGTGTGTGTGTGTGTGCGTGCGTGTGAGTGCGTGCGTGCGCGCGTGTATGTGGGCTGTATATAATATATGTATTTATAAAGTTCTATATATGATCGCAATATAATAGTCTGCGTGTCTTCCTGTTAAAAATGGAAAAGAAACTCACGCGGGCATCCTTTCACTCAGTGGATCAATGAAAGCAGTAGCAGTTCTAAGCAAAAATAGAGTTAAGCTTGTTTTTAGGGCGCTTATAGTTAGTTTCTTTAACGTTGCTATGTACTTTAGCGTTTTGTTGGTGGTCATCTCGCTCTCCCTGCTGACTTACTCAGCGTCACTTTGCGCAGATGTTTGCATCGGGGAATTAGCCCATGATCAATGGCATCGGATCATCAGCCCATTCTGCGCCGCATCTACTTGCTCCTTATTTCGGCCACATTCTGCTCGTTGAGCTCAGCACTCGTGTGGTGTCAGAAGTTTTGCCGCCTCGTCGGTTGAGCAGGGTTACGACGTGCTGCGTACAATGTCAATGTCAACTTGTCAATCTGGCAAACAAATGTGCGTAATGACAAGAGACACGACTCGATGGTCGCACGTGGTTCATGAATATGCATCTCGACGAGCTCCCGGCGTTTATGGAGGATAATCTGCTCTCAGTGACAATGTGACATTGCCGAGCTCGGCCCGTTACAATTCACACCCGACCTAACCGAAAGTCGTTTAGATACCGGCACCGATTAGCTGCCCCGGACAAAAGCCCAATCAAGTTTTGCCACTCCAAGGCGCTACTTGCTGGCTTTTTGTCAGGTTCCGCGCACTTTTAATTAGTTTGTTGATTATGAGCGGGATGAGAACTCGCTCAGCTACAATGGCTGACAATGCGTCGGGCAATCGTAAAAGCTGGTCGGCAGCCCGGGAGAGAGGGAAGACAGCGGGGAGGGACAATCGGCCCAACCGATCCACACACGCGGGCACCCAAGCTTCTTTAACTTACATTTGTATTTGCTGTATTTACATTAGCATGTCAAAGGTGTTTGCAAGATGTTTGCAATAAAGCCGACGTAATCGCCTCGCGCCATTCACTACCGACGCATTCTTCGTTTCCTTCACCCACTCGCCGTAGCACACATTCCAGTTTCACACGCGCGTTTGTCAGGTGGACGGTCTGAAAATCTGTTCGCTATATCTCACGTTTCGCAAGTGCTAAGTTGCATTTCTAGCGTCCTCCGCCAAACTATCGTATTACCAATGTCGCCGGTCGCGCGATTTCTCTGTAATAATCCTTAAAATGCTCATATTTCGCTGAATAATATCGATATTGACATAAACGCGATGTGACTGTCGCTCCGCCCCCGCGCCGTGATTGACGCGTGCAAGCTACTGTGCATTGACCGCAAGCCAATCGCAGGTAGGCGGGGCCCAACCGCGTTCGCCGTGCACGAAATCGCCGTTGCGCATGTCGGCGTTCAGATTTCAGCACATCTGTTTATTCATGCTCGTTGTGTGATTGCCAACCGGTAATTCTGTTGTGGATGTGTCGTACGATCAGCTGGCCCCTGTCGGTATAAATGCACGGTAGTGACCGGGGCGGCGCCAATTTGTCTCCGAAGCGTCCAGAAACTGGCCATCGCCTGAACGCAGAGCCAGACACTCCGTCATCGCGGGTAGTCAGGTGCTGTGATGCCGCGAGTGTGATTCAAACTGACGTCTTCCTGCGCGAAAACATGGTGGACGGCGGGCTGTATGTTTATAGGTGTGCAATTTGTTTACAGAGCATTTAATCGCACACAGTCGCGATTACTACAGTAGATATATAGTCACACGAACTCTTCTACAAGAACGTTGTTAATTTTCATTCGAATTTTGCAATCGGCAACGGAGATTTCCTGCATTAGTCGGCGCCGATACCCTGATGGCGAATGCTGACGTTAGACAACTCGCCTTACACGAACGATGCTACGCCTAAGAGACTGTGACGGCGTCGGCTCAGCATCGTTACTCAGTGCAGCGTGTACGTAATACTGCTCCGGTACGCGCCTAATCCGAATTGAACTGTGAGTCTTATCTACAACGATCGTCAGAGCTGAGTGTTTGGTTTAGCGTATAGAGCGTGGATGTAAACAATGCCACGGCCGGGCAAGAACACGTACGGCGATCAGAAGCCGCCTTACTCGTACATCTCCCTGACGGCGATGGCGATTCAGAGCTCGACCGAGAAGATGATGTCGCTCAACGAGATCTACAAGTTCATCATGGACAACTTCCCGTACTATCGCACGAACACGCAGCGCTGGCAGAACTCGCTGCGACACAATCTGTCGTTCAACGACTGCTTCATCAAGATACCGCGCCGACCCGACCGACCGGGCAAGGGCAGCTACTGGGCGCTGCATCCACACTGCGGCGAGATGTTTGAGAACGGCAGCTTCCTACGACGGAGGAAACGATTCAAGCATCCGCAGTTAGCCGTCAGGTCTCTGCCTGTCTGCATGAGTCCGCCGACCCCGGCCAGCCTCATCCAGCACGAGCACCATCAGACGCGGCTGCACCCCGCCGCGCACTTCTACCCCGTGTACCAGACGATGACGCTGCCGACGTCGTCGCCGCCGATCAGCAGCACGACGACGGCGACGTCCGAGCCGAGGAAGCAACCCTTCACTATCGACAACATACTCGGCTCCGCGTACAACCCGAACGTCTTTCCTCACGATGCTATGGACCGAGTAGCCGGCCACGCGCACGTGATGGGCCCCGTCCTGCACGGCACCACGCCCGTGCACCATCTACCGATGTGCTCGATATCGGGGCCGATCAAACCGACGCCTGTGCTTTCCGTGCCCTCGACAATTCATCCGGGAATTCCTATGCGTCTACCGGCGAAGGAAGGGACAAGTCCGCCATGTCAGTGCATATCGTCAGCAGCTGTCCAGCACGAGTTGGCGATCAAAGGTACTATTTTGTCGTCGGCGTCCTTACCTGGGTGGATTCGAACAAATGCCGTCCTGCTGCCGTCGTCTCTGCCCAAATCTATGACGATGAGTTCTCGGGCGCTGGTCTCCCAGCAATGACGTCGACGAGAGACAATTAATAATTATCACCAACGTTCTAGACACTTATTTATGAAAGACGAGGCAACGTCAGTGGGATAGGTACACAATTACGCTGATGTATGTTTCGCGATTAAATCGTTATTGATATTTTGCGTTGGTATGTTTAATCGATACAGCGTGTATAGCCAGCCTCCAAGCTCTGCTAATAATTGGACATTATGTACTCGAACTGCAGCAAAATTTTACTCGTATCTTACAGCCACGGCCAACGGAATTATGCAACGCGTCTTTCTACACGCGTTTCTATAAAATTCCTATCATATTAAACGATAAAGGATTTGACAAAATTATTAGCTAAAAACGACATAAATTCTCACGCAGTTTTGAATTAATTCACGTCAATGACATAATGAGATGCCATGTCACAGTTATTGGTAGCGGAGCCACGCGCAGAGTTACATGATAGCAAAAGCTAATAATACCTATTATTAGCTATTGATTATAGGCAAGTCTTATATCACCAGAGACGTCATGAGTGATCACAACTGTACTCGATATAGTGGAGCACAGATGCAATAAACGTCATGTGAATTTTCAGTGTACATAAATACGGTTACTAAGTCATTATGCGTATAACTGTATTAACTATATCTAGGCCTATACATGCACATAGCCGTATGTAATGTGTGCTTGTTTCATTGGCTGGTCCAAACAATTATGTGTAGCGGTGCTAAATACCACTGTAGTATGATCATGATATGCATACAAGAGGTTATGCTACACGTGAGAACGAACATTCTGAAAATAGTCTATGAACGGATCAAATTGTTGTTATATGATGTCAATTTTATATATACTGGATAAAGCATGATATCAAAATACTTTAGCGTCGAATAATTTCTCTCGTAGAGTACCCAATAACAAGACCACCACTTGAGCTTTACGCCACCATGAACCTGTAATTATAGTATGCCTTACCTGATGACAGCGACGTCGAATAATTTCCATAATGTATATCGCTCTTGACATCCATCACGCAATTTTATCGTCAGAACGTCAACTGTTTTATAAATACGATTTTCATATTTTAATTTACCGTTCGCAGTATAGGCGTCTACGCGAGAAATCTATCATATTTCGGTTTTTATTTCTTGTACACCCACCTCACGGGCCATGTACGCTACTGTACGTCGTTCTGCGCATTCATGTATGCCACGTCAAGTAATATGCTGCTATCAGACGGCAATACATATTTACCTGCACGCGAAGCGCCATGATGAATTTTATTTCACTCGTCTGTTGCTTTGAGCTATGTATAATTGTTTGTCTTCCCATAGCAAGATGCTGTTCGATCTAAACGTGCTGCGACGAGTACACTGAGAAATATAGACTATATAAATAGACTGTTCACGTTGAATATTGCTGTAATAGCTGTGTTTATGGTCAAATGTAGTTAGAGTTGTAAAATATGTGAAATGCATTACGACAAACTAAATAGTGTTGTTATAAGCTGCATGTATGTGTTTTATACACAGGAAAATGGTCCATTAAATATACCAACGTTAAAACCTTGTTTACATAAAAA